TTCCTTTCTCTTGGATTGTTTGGAATAATTTGAGGAGTATAAGTGTTCATTCTTCTGTGAGTGTTTGGTAAAACTCCCCTATGAAGCCATCTGGACCAGGGTTTTTGGTTGCTGGGAGTTTTTTGATTACTGCTCCTATTTCATATGTTGTTATTGGCCTATTCAGGTTTTCTGATTCCTCCTGATTCAGTTTTGGGAGATTGTATTTTCTAGGAATTTGTCCATTTCATCCACATTGTCCTACTTGTTGGCATATAGTTGTTCATAGTATTTTGTTACCATCCTTTGTATTTCTATGGTCTATGTTGTTACTTCACCTCTTTTGTTTCTGATCTTATTTATTTGGATCCTCTCTCTGTGTTTCTTGATGAGTCTAGCTAAATGTTCATCAATCTTGTTTATCTTTTTATAAATCTTATTTATCTTATCAATGGTTTCATTGATCTTTTGTGTTGCTTTTTTAGTCTCTGTGTCATTTATTTCCACTCTGATCTTTATTATTTCCTTCCTTTTATTTACTCTGGGCTTTTCTTGTGTTCTCTCCCCCCCCCCCCCCATATATTTCTTTAAGTTGTAGGGTTATATAGTTAACTAGAAATTTTTCTTGTTATTTTGTGTGTGTGTGTGTGTGTTTTGTTTGTTTGTTTTGTTTTGTTTTGTTTATGTAGATCTGTAGTGCTATGAACTTCCCTCTTAGGACTGCTTTGATTGTGTCCCATAGTTTTGGAATTGTTGTGTGGTCATTTTCATTTGTTCCCTGAAAGTTTTTTAATCTCCCTTAGATCTTATTGGTAACCTGTTCATTGTTTAGTAACATGCAATTTAGCCTCCTTGTGTTTGAGTATTTATGGGTTTCTATTGAGAAATCTAGTGGGAGCTCCCTTGTAAGGAACTCTGTCTCTCTTGTAGCCTTTAAGATTCTTTCTTTGTCTTTAACATTTGCCATTTTAATTATGATTTATGATTTTATATGTATTTTATTTATTTTATTTGTTTTATTTATTTATTTTATTATTTTATTTTATTTATTTATTTATTTTATTTTTAGTGTGTGTGAGTCTTTTTGGGTTGATTTTGATTGGGACTCTGTGTTTCCTGGACTTGTTTGACTTTTTCTTCACCTAATCAGGGAAATTTTCTGTCATTATTTCTTCAAATAGGTTCTCTATTTCTTGCTCAGATTCTTCTCTTCTGGCACCCCTATGATGCAGATGTTGTTATGTTTCATATTCTCCCAAAGCTCCTTTAAACTCTCCTCCTGCTTTTTAATTTTTTTTCTGAATTGCTGCTCTGTATGGGTGTGTTTTTTTCTACCTTGTCTTCTAATTCGCTGATTGGGTCCTCCGCTTCTTCTAGTCTAGTGTTGAATCCTTCCAGGGTATTCTTTATTTCAGCTATGTCATTCTTCATTTCCGATGGAGTCTTATTCATCTATCTCTTTTTCATGCTGGTGTAGTTCTTACTAAGTCCCACATAGTTCTAATTACGTTGCTTATATTTCTCACTAAGTTGTTTGAATAACCTTATAGCCATTACTTTGAATTCTTTATCTGACAAATTGCTTGCTCCCATTTTTAGTTCCTTTTCTGGTGATCCCTCTTTTTCTTTCATTTGGGGGTTGTATCTTTGTCTCCCCATTTTGGCTGTCCCTTTGTATTTGTTACTACGTATTAGATCAAACTACTATGCCTCCCAGTCTTCGTGGGGTGGCCTTATGTAGTATGTGCTTTGTGGGACCCAGTGGTGCAGTCTCTTATTGGTAACCAAGCTGGCATATAGATCTCCCAAGCTGGGTGCACTAAGAGTGTCCCTATTGTGAATTATTTGTGCTCTCTGTTGTAATTGGGTTTTGAATGTTGTTGCCCCATTTGTTGATAGAATCTTCTCTTAATCTGGCCGACTGTGAGGCTCACCACCGACCATATAATGCAAACAGTTGTGCACAGTTGCTTGCATTATATGGTCGGTGGTGAGCCTCACAGTCAGCCAGATTTGACAGAACAAATCAAAACAAGAAGCAAAACAAAACAAAACAATAACATCCAAAAAACCCCTACAATGACAACAAAAGCAACCACAGAAGAAGAGAGAATTAGGAAAGAGAAAAGGGATCAAGAATGATAGAAGAAAAGAAAGAAAAAAAAAGTACAAGGAAAAAAAAGGGGAAGAAAAAGCAATTTGAAAGGGCAGAAATGAAATAAAGAAAATAAGAATAAAGAATAGGGGGAGGAAACAGTGTACAAATAGAGGAAGAATAAATAAGAAATGGGGAAAAACACATGAGAAAGAAGGAAAAATAGAGTAAGAAAAAGGGAAGAGAAAAATTAGCTATAGGAAAGAAAAAGACTAAAAGAATAGAAAATCAATAAAGAAGAAAGATAAAGAATATAAAGGAAAAGAAAGGTGAAGTGGTTGTCTTAGCAGAGCAGTGTCTCATGGGAGCTCCCTTGGGTCCTGCTCTTCTGGTGTCTGGAGCTGACTGTTGTGTCTGCCAGTTCTGGGCTTCCCTGGGAGGTACTTAGGTGCTAACCACTGTCAGAAGCTGTCTTCCTTTGGCTCTCAGCAACCTGTTTGAAGCTTCAAGGGATCCACATTTTGTGTCTGTCTCCATAGGACTTGGCTGCACTCAGTAGGGCCCAAGCTGCACTCTAAGGCCGGTTTGTTAGCATCATGGGGCCAGGGATGGGTCAGCAAATTTCTCCTGGTTTCCTGGTCTCTGCCTACACCTGCTTTTGTGTAGTAGCCAGCTGTCAGTCTTAATCACTCAAAAGTCTGTTTCTGAAAGGGCTTTAGGCAGAATGAGGATTATAGACCTCTGGGTTTCCCATGAGGGGGAGGTGCCATTCAGAATTCAGGGAAAGTGGTGGGTGTGTTCGTGTCCCAGAGCTAATCCTGTGAGAGTGACCCAGAATATTTCCCTGCCCTCAGGTGGTGAAGATCCTCGTATGCAGTCCAGTGGGATCAGCTGGATACCGGGAGTTTCTATCAGCTCTCCCGTGAGGGGAAAGCACCAGTCAGGTTCCCAGGGTAGTGGGGTGGATGTCACCACCCCCAAGCCAGTCACTGATGCTCCCGGAGACTGTTCAAACCCGTAGACTTGGCCTCTGCTGCTGTCTCTTCTGTGAAAGCTGAGGTGCAAGGTGTGGCAGGCCGGGCTCCTGAGGGTGGGGCGGGCTGTATCACCTAGGGTGGAGTTGCTTCCTTTTCCGGAGCTATAGCTTCTGGGAGGGGCCCGCACCTCTCAGGAAAAATGTGTATTTTGTTTTGGGGGCGTACTTCCCAATGCAGGACTCCCAGCTGCTGCTAGTCCATGTCTCCCCCCAATGCTTCCCACCCCAGCCTCTCCTTAGGCACCTTGAGTCCCGCACTGCCCCCCTCCCTCAGATGAGTAGCCTGCAAGTGAAAATCCCTGTGCTCCGGGTTAAAAAACTACCCACAACAAAAAACCTGAGGCTTTATCTCCGACCTACTCTGGTTTCCCCAGCAGCAGACGCCCTGCTGCCTTTCACGGCAGGATGTTACTGGGCTGCTGTTCTCAGCTGTGATGCCCAGCCTGGGTTCCAGGCCTCAATCTTCTCAGGGATAAAACCCTCCCATATCCGAGCGATCTCTCTTCACTCTTGGCCTGCTGCCCTGGAAGCTGGGTCAGCCCCTTTTTCGACCTCGCTCTTCCTGCCAGTCTCCAGGTGTTTTCTGTCCTTCCTGGATATAAGCTTCCTCCTCAGTTGGTAATTCTGGCTGAATGTTCCCCATTTTAGCTTTATTTCCAGTCTGGCTCCAGAAGGAGGTGCAAGAAAGGTCTGCCTATTCTACCACCATCTTCTCCCTGACTGTGCTTCCTGGACGTGGGAATCAGTGTCAGAGATTAGACCAGGCCTGCCTCAGCACTGTGGGTGTGCCTGTGTCTTGTCTCCTACGTGCCTGTAAATGCTTGGTGAGCAAGGCACCATGCCTCGGCCACCACTCCGCCTAATTTCAAACTTGGCATGGTTATTTAATTGTAATCCTCAACTTCATCAACAATACAATTTTTTGACAAACTTTAATACTTAATTAACAGAATTAGCAGCCTTCAAATATGCAACATGGATAAAGATTGAAAAAACAACTGAAGAATTTTGGCATACACTGCTCTGGATTAATTTGTGAATTATGATATTTATATGTTCAGAATTATACGGAAAATATTTACAATGTTATATTGTCTTGGCCTGGCCAGCATGGCTTAGTGGTTTAAGCGTCGACCTATGAACCAGGAGGTCATGGTTCAATTCCCGGTCAGGGCACATTCCCGGATTGTGAGCTTGATCCCCCATGTGGGACCTGCAGGAGGCAGCTTTTTTTCCCTTTTTTTTTTTTTTTATTGATTTTTTACAGAGAGGAAGGGAGAGGGATAGAGAGTAAGAAACATCAATCAGCTGCCTCCTGCACACCTCCTACTGGGGATGTGCCCGCAACCAAGGTACATGCCCTTGACCGGAATCGAACCTGGGACCTTTCAGTCTGCAGGCTGATGCTCTATCCACTGAGCCAAACCGGTTAGGGCAGGAGGCAGCTTATCAATGACTCTCTCTCATCATTGATGTTTCTATCTCTCTCTCCATCTTCCTTCTTCCTCTCCATCGTCCTCTCTGAAATAAATAAAAATATTTTAGAAAAAG